CTACATTTTGAGAGAAAAATGGGCACATAAAAGGGTTTTGATTAGGAGTAAATAGATGGAATATTATTTAAATGTGAAAAAATAAAAGCTTTTCGCGTGGGGGGGGCGCCTGCTAAAATAAAATCCCATCCCCCTTACGCCCACCACGCTTTAATTAAATTAAAGTGGATTTCCATAACCTCGTAGCGTAATAATAATATTTAATATTCAAAAAAAATGCATTCACCATCAATGGTGATATTTGGGCATTGACTTGGAATAAATGACCATCACGCCGTGGTGTGCCAAAAAATGTTATATGAACGTATTCGAGGGCTCTGAAATGAGGATGCCGAAGGGTGAAAAAAAATAAAATATAGTATCTTTAATTAAATTAATTGTTCCTTTTGCATCTATATTTCAAACCACGTCCTGCGTTGCCGTTTTGGGACCTATATTGGGCCACGTCCTAAGGGGGGCCATCATATTCGCCAGCCCGAGCGGAAAAAAAGATAGCACGCCGAATGAATTTAACGGCATTGAGATTTATTAGGCAATTAAGCCCCTCAATTGAATTAGGCTCCTCATTTTGTGTGATTGATTACAAAAGAACACGAACACATGTTTTCATGGATTTGTGCATTCAACCATTGCTTGGTTCCCGCTGGGGTGGGTGGGGTTTGTTTCGGTCGAATTTTTACACCAAAAAACTTCTTGGGCCGATAAAATGATTCAAAAAGCATCAGAAAAAGTTGATATTATAAATGATAGTAACCAATTAAATATGGATTAAAAGAAACATTTAACTTAGAACCCCTATTTTCGGACAATGTTATACGATGGTGGCCTTCTAGGAATTTCCTTGTCGTTTGGGAATGGTATGGGTGGGGGCGGCCAGAAGGCCCCAAAAAGAGCCGGCGGCGGGAGGGGGGACGTGGAAAATAAAGCACAATCCAAGCACGTTTCACATCGGATGGTCGAACCTTGCCGCGTTTCCATTTGTATGGTGTGTACTTCATAGCCAGGCCGAAGGCATTGAGTGTACGGGGAAATCGTGGAATTTCAGTTGACACGGCCCTGCGTGGGGCGTTCAAAAAAAGGTGTGGGGGCCACGGGTGGCGACTTAATGGTTGGTGTGGATGCTCAAAATCGTACCGGCATGGGGTTGGCACGCCACTTTTGAGGGATGTCACCAAGGATAACAATCCCAAGAGGGCCTAGGCGCCGTACAATCGTATGGGGGTTCCTTGTGCCCAGCCGAATTTTCTATTGGAAACCCTGTAATGAGTTATTTGAATAGCTAAAACAGATTTCTACATTATCGCTTCGTAGACTTTTAAGAAATAAATACTATTTATTCCGGTAAGTAATGGGTATTATCTATTTACAACCAAAAATTTATCTTCGCTTTTTCTCTTGACTGTTGAAGCAATTCATAAGAAACGAATCTTAACTTTTTCAAAACTTTCAATTACTGACTTCAATTTTTCAATTTGTGGAAAAAGTCCTAAGATAACTTCACCAGACTTTTGTTTCGATGCTTCAGTAATGTAGGGCTGACTGTCGCACACCAGTGAACCAGCGCGTAGGCATCTTGACAACCAATTCTTAGCACAACTCCTGCCTCTGCGCGAATGCAACGGAGGAGCACCATGGTAGAGCAATGAGAGCACCGAGTACGGTCATGCCCCTTTGGAGTCCAATGTAGACTAATATAAAGAGAGGCCCAAATACAAGCCAAGAAGTCAATAGCGACGCTGGCATAACGTTCTCTATAATACGTTTTTCTACAGACCATACATTTCGCCGGTTTTGTTCTTTTCCAGTGTTTGTTCCAATGAAGCCAGGATTGGAGAACCCCCTGCGTGCTGCAGTCATGGAATTGAAGTAACACAAAAGTAGCAGAGGGGTCCACACAAGTTGCTGCAGACCTAAAGCGAAGAAGCATAACATCAAACGTCGATGCATGGCCCCGCAGGCCCTAATGAGCAGCCGCTGGTAGTGATGCGCCGCGGACCCGACGAGAAGCCCAAACAGGCTTGACTGGGCCACGTGCTCTTTGTTAAACATATCGTCAGTTTTTTGTCGGATTGTGGAGCCCTCTGTTGCCATTTTATTTTTGATTCGGCGTTTCGAGTGATGCCTGTGAGTGCCATAGGCCTGTGCAAGTAAATCGCCACCACCCCATAAACTTGCACCGACGAATGAGCTTCGCACATAAAGCCACGTGTGGGGCATTATTGGAGTTTTTTGTTGAAATAAATCGACTAAGAGGACTAGTATGAATGGAAAAATATAATATGACTAACTCTTAAATAGCGGATGTACACCAAATAGTATAATCCAGCAAAAATATCGTACATCCATGCACCGCCACAAGTCTCTAAGATATAATCTTTTACTTCGAACGTTTTTTCATATATGAATTCAATGTCAACGAATGACAGTCTTAAGCTTGTTCAATGTCACCCAACCTCTTCAAAAAAAATTAAAGTAAAGCAGTATATTCTTCGCTATTCAGTTCCCTTTAGTGTGTTCCACCTTTCCCATGATGCGATTTATGTGCCCTGAGGCATTGACATGCCCTCATATACATATATATATATATCCAACACCTAATTAACGCACTTTTTCACTAAATAGCACCTTATTTTCACTTTAAGAGCCATAAGAATGAATTTCAGATTTGCTCTTAAGTTTTGCAAGTATTTTTAATAGAGTTTGAAAGAATACTAACTTTTCCATCTTCACTTGAACAAACCAAATATGGTCCTTCTATTTTAATATCCGTTATAGATGCATGATGGAGAAAATGCTTCTGTAAAGGTCTTTTTACAAGGCATTTTGGCCACTTAGGAGTAGAACACAAAGTGTTTGAAAATAGGGTACTAGGCTCGATTGCATGCTTATTCTCCACGGTGGGGATCACATCAGAGAAAAGGTGATAAGCTCTCTTAGGCGGAGGAGCAACGCTTCCAGAGTTTCTACCAGGATCCACGTTGGCCAAATCTTTGTTAATTTGAAGGTTCCACATATACAGGCAGCCGTTATCACTTGCACTAAATAGATACTCGTCGGTGTTCCCAAAGGCTACAGGCTGACTGGTTCGGCCGTTGTTCTCAACCCCACTGAACGAAAGCGGCAAAAGTTGGAAGGAGATAATATCCCACAGACGCAACTCACCAGCTCGATATGATGCTAGCAATAACGTTGACGAGGGAGACAACGCTATAGCGGTCAGTTCCTTTAGAATTGGGGATACCAGTGTATTAATGAGGACACCCGTGGCTACATCCACAACCAGGATCGGACCATCTTTGCATGCGGCATAATAAGTCGTGCCGGTCCGGCTGGAGACGATGGCCACGATAGTGCCATGCCCGTAGCTGCTCTCGCGCATTTTGCCCCCGCTTAAGGTATCCCACAGCGTCACCGTGCCGTCTGACTGTCCTGTCGCGACGATGGTTCCGCAAGGGAAAAAACAGCTTGCGTACACCTCCGCCTCGTGGGCAAGCACATTCTCAACACATGCCTCTGGCAACAGGGATTGGTGGGAAAGGTCAGCCTCACAACCATGGACCGCCGCCGCGCCCAAGAAAGCTTCTTTGCCACAATCACAGACATAACGCTCTATGTTTACAACGGTCACTCGGCACCCACCCCATACAAGCAGTCGCTTTGCATCGTGATGACACATCCCTCGAATAGGATGTGGATGCTGGTAGAGAAAAGTGATGTCCTCATTGGCTATTTGGCTACAGTTGTACGCAGGAAGAGCAGAGTTCGATTCTTGTTTTGATGAAGCAGAGAGAGCCTGATCAATCAATGTTGTGGCTCCCATTCGGCTGCTGTGTAAGTAGTCCAGCGATATCCAAAAAACTGCGCCACCTCGTTTAGTTTCAGCGCTCACAACCAAAGCGGAGCTTGTGAAAAACGTCTGACAGGCTCTGAGACAGTGTATCGCAGGCCTCGACAATATGTGCGGGAAGTGTTTCTTGATAAGGCTATTCACATCGATTTGCATTAAGAGTTCTGTAGGTGGAAGCTGATTTTCAAAAGAGACACGCAGCGTACTCGTGATAATTTTAGGATGTTCTTTGTGAAGATGTGGGTGCTGCTTGTGGAGAAGCTCAAACGAGAGGGATTGAGCGAGCATGACATGCAGTGGCTTTATTGAAGTATCCTCCTTGTTTGTAATGATATTTCCTTGCCGGAGGTACGGCACCATGGTCAAGCTTCCCATGGTCCGCGTTATGAATTGCTGCAGCTGTGAGCGGCCGATTTCAGGTGTCCAGCCCCGGTACTCGGGATAAATATTAGCACTCTCTGAAACTGTTTTGCAAGAAAGGAGATAGCTCAGTTTCCTGAAATGCTCGCGGCTTACCAATGGTTCAAATGGTTTTATGTTACGTATGAAAAAACTAAGCGACCTCTGAGAGTCATCTTCATCAACCAATTCCAAGTACTGCTGTTGGGAAAGCAAAAAAGGTAAAGTCCTAACAAGGTGGTTCAGTTGAGACGGATACTCGGCTTGAAACATCCCTTCAGAACGGATATTATTTTGAAGCTTTTTCATATTTTTTTGTGCAGAATCCCAGTTGCGCTCATCGACAGAGCGACACAGGGCCCGTACTGTTTTCCGCTCATAGTGTTTGTTTCTGAGCTGAGCTGTAGCTTCCTCACGGAGGAGCTGAGCTGAGGCGGTGAGACCTTGTTGAATCAACCATGCAATGATGACTTGAACAATCTCTGTGCGTGTTGTATCGTTGAATTCTATCTCAACGAGGTCTCCATCTACATAAGGTACTTTTTCAGTTAGATCGCAATGTGTTCCACAGAGCAAGCGGTTCTCGCAGGAGGATGGGCACGAGTCAGGAAAATTCATGTATGATTAGAGAGAGAGAGTAAAGGTGTATGTAAAGGGTTAGATATAGTGCGTTTACCTTGGCAGTAATAAATCTTCCTTATAGTCGCTTTGTAACTTTAGCTATCTATGACAAGTTAGTTAGTTTAGGTTACAGGAGAAGGTGTAGGGGCAATCCTTATGATGGGTACAAGGGCTCCCGGAGGCCTTTGGCTTGACTGTTCTGGTAATAATATGATTGAAACAAGATTGGTGTTCAGGATAGAGTGACGATATAAAATCGAACCAATTGATAAGGTTAGATTTAGAGTTACATTTCCATACTGAAACACGCTTAGCATTACTCACTCGCTTCAGATTGTATGATTTTTTTTGTCTTGTTACTTTCTTATGTGTCATATTCATTGCAATGGATGCAACATTTTAATACCAATGAATATATTATATTGATTAAAATATCGCCATACAATCCCGACAATTTAATCGGGAAAGCTGCAATCTACGTAGTTTTGGTTTTCCAGCTATATGATAATTGGAAAACGTGCTTGAACAAATAGACTAAATTTTTACACTTAAGTTCCTCTTCAATTGAAAAGGATTCTCGTTGCTACGCAAAGACCACATTCATTGTGACGGTTTCCATTCTACCAAGAACATTACGAACTATCTTCCCAGGCGTCTGTCACGTTTGAAGTATTTTAGAAGCGCTTCCTTCAAGTCCATCCTCGTTATCTCAGGCCACTTTTTTGAAATAAATTCAAATTCACTATAAGCACATTCATACAGAAGAAAGTCACTAATCCTCTGCTCTCCGCTCGTTCGCAGGATGAGTTGTGGCTCTCTAGGTACCGAGTTCGTAAAGACCTTCTTGTCTTCCTCCTCATGATTTGCTTGAGTTATGCTCTGAAGCATTTCAGCTGAAATTTCATCCTTTGAGATCTCACGTGTATCACCAGAGCTTAATCGTCTCTGAAAGATTCGGTTGAAAGCGGTTACCATTTCGGATTGACCACTATAGCTGACACAGATATTTACCGTTATGCGGCGTGGAGATATAAGCCTGGAATCACACTCCAAGGACTCCATCATCTTAAGTACGTGTATGGGTAGCTTTCCAGGTTCGGTCGAAACAAATCGAATAAAAATACCATACTTGTACGTAGTGGATCGAATTTTTCCAAAAAATAAGAAGAAGAGCGTCATTAAAACATTCAACTCCACTACTGGGCGGTTCCAATTATCCGTCGAAAACGCATATACTGTAAGCATTGCTATACGTGCTTCAATGCAATCCTTTACAAATTCAATGAGCTTTTCGCCGCCGAGGCGATGTCCATCGAAAAAAGTGTTCTTAATTAAGCGCGAAAGCTTTGTATATCTATCATTAAACCAAGTTCTGCTTAGATGGGGAGTATTATCAGAGATAATTACATTGTTAACTTCAGAAACTTCAGTGCTAATCCTTTTGCAAAAGGACTGAATTTCTTCTATTGGCGTTGAATTTTCAAACTGGCGGTAACGTTCTCTCCCGTAGCGTCGATTTCCATCCATTATAACAGCGAGATGAGTGACCGAATGGGGAAGAGATCTCAAGCCATCGTTCACATCATGACCTTTATTTTTGTCGAAAGTCATTTTACATTTCAAAGGGCCAGAGTAACTGTCTTCAGAAAAAGAGGAATGTGGGACATGCCTGTGTTTGCGTTCGTTCTTTACAACAACGCTAAAATACACCAATAGAATTAAGAAGACAATTCCAAAACATAATAGCCCAAACATCCCACACATATCCTCCAGTAAAACTACACAACCACCGTAGTTACTCAATTTATGGAGCCATAAGATACCATCCTGAAAATTAATATAATTTTCAGATGTGCGCATTATGCATAATACTATATATAATCTAGGAATAAATGTGAAAATAACTGCGATAGTGTGGATTATATTCCTAAAGAAATAATAATAGATGAAAAAAATATGCACACATTGGTATCATCAATAATGCGTTTGTAACTATTATTCATTGAATATGCGTGTAGTGATTCAAAACGCCAGACAATTCATAATAAGTTTTTATTTTTCATCGTCGGTTCCATTCCGCTGGAGATGTCGTCTTAGAACGGTACGTAGTGGACAGGTTTGAGTAGTTGCATTGTTGGTTTTCCGTTCTACAGGGGATTCGTAGAGTGATTTTGAGCGCAAACAGACGCCAGATCGAATGAGCCGCATCGAAGCATTTCGAGAAGGTTGAGGTTCCCAGCATTACCCCACCGCGGTTGGGGCAAATTCTCTGGGAGGCGTCGCCGTACATCGGAGTTGAAGAGAGAAAGCGACTGAGCAGTGGTAATAACGGGGGAAAGTAGGGTGTATATGCCCTTGACAAAGTATACCAAAGGCACGTACAACCAACCTGCTAAGGTGAGAATCAGCTTCTTGGGTTCGTGCGTCGTCGTGCGCTCTGCGCCACGGCGACCTGATTCACCAGCAAAGAGGCGCAATTGCTCCGTGTGATTTGTCACAATGCCACTAAGCCGCTCAAGGGTGACCACAACAAACTCAAGTTGATTCTGGGCGTAGGATAAGTCGACTTGATTCTTTTCGAATTTCTCATCCAACCGAGAAACATGCGAGTGTAGAGCACTAAAACCTGCCATTTGACGCTCGGCACTTCTTTCAAGATGCTTGAAACGCCGGTCGAGGCTTTCAATGCATGCCCGAGCACAGTCCACTCCAGCAGAAGCCTCAGCCCCCAGATTCACCGCGCCCGCTGGAGAGCGGCCCATCAGCCCCTGCGACGAAGCCATGCGCACGCCACCTAACGTGAGAAATACCAAAAAGATCAGAAGAGTAAATAGCTATACGAAGAAGAAGAGAGGAATCCACTTCCGGAGAGAAAGAGTAGCGTGTGGTCGCAGAGCAGCCGTTTCCTCCAGCTTCGTGAGGTCTGTGGGGAATACGTCCCTCCTACCCAGAGTTCTTTCGCTGGCAAACATGCGTTACTTTGCGTGCGGTGTACCCATTTCCCCAAGAGCCCCACCCTATGCGAACAGATCGGCGACAAACAGCTATGGTGGCGCCACGGCGCCTATCCACAGCCCCCGCTCATCATGAGCCGCCCGACACCGCACTACCACTCGCGCCCGCGCCGCCGGGGGCGGCCCCAACGTCGTCCTCGGCATCCAACACAAGCAGCCCATCCCCAAGGCCCTTCGCCCGCATCTCTGCCGCCACCGCTAGGGGCTGCTGCTGCTGCGCTTGTGAGGGCCGGTGGCTCGCCGTTAACGTCCCCCCAATGCTCTCCCAGTCGATCTCCTCGCCGTCTTCGGTACCAAGCTCACCGCTGGCCGGCTGCACGGTCTTGCCCCCTCTTGACGCAGACACGCGGTGCAGGATCGGGTCGTACAGGCGGGATGGAGCTACCGGCCTGCGCACTGCCGCCTCCAGGAAGCGCCTGCCCTCCCCGGAGAGTCGCTCATAGTGGGGGTTCAACGTGGTCCACAGGCCTTGCGCGCGGCGTGCCCCTTGTCCGCGTTGTATTCGCGTGCACTCCTCTACGCAGCCGTCGTCGGTCTCCGTCCTCTCAGGCTCAACTTCATCGCCGGTGCTCGATTCCATCGCACTGCAGGACGTCGATGCAGACTCTCGGCTCATACTACGGGAGGATGAATCGGATCGCAGTCGTCTGCCACGCCCACAACATGCCTCGGCCGAGCGCCGACCGGGTTGCTCAGCGCCAAGCATCGGACCCGGTATGTAGTGGGGTGCGAAGCCGTCGTCCTCGCTTTCTCCGTCGTCCACGATAAAATCGCTGTCTTCCGCCTGCACCTCGACGAGGTTCAGCCCTTCGCCAACCGCCTCACCCGCTGGGAACACCGTCTGCTCGACGATCGCCTCAGCGTGCGTCGCCGCCGCAAGCTCGACCCCGTCGACGATGCGGTTGTAGCGTAGGCAGTTATAGCGACTATTCAGTTGCCAATACCGCTGCTGCGTCAATGCAGTCCTCTTCTTGGCCTCGCCACACGCCTTGCGCCGCGCCTCGTACTTTTCCTCCTGCAGCCGGTTGAAATGACTGAAGAAGCTGCACAAGAGGTCCCGAAGCCGGTAGTCTCGTGCGGCGACCCTTCTAATGCCGTGGTGTCGACCCATGTGCAGTTTCCACAGAGCAGCCGTACGAAACGCTACCCAGATTAGCGCGGCGTCACGGCTCCTTTCGACGCCCTCCGCTCCACCCGCGTGCATGCGTGTGAGCACATCCAGAGGGTCGATCACGGGCGTTGCGCCATCGTCCATGTACTCGATGCCCCGCCCCTCAGAACTCATGAGGGGAATATAGCGCGTCTTCACGCAGTGCTCGAGGCAGACTGGGCACACGTACACCTCCGCTGAGCTCAGCGAGTAAAACTCATCGACAATTTGCTGGAAGTATGCATGCCGGTGGATTATAGCGCTGCTTGACTCTTCGTCAAATTCGCCGGAGGGGACCAATGCATCTCGGGCTTCAAAGCAGAACCTTTTGCCTTCCATCAATTCAATTTTCTCCCTTAAACTTTCCTCCATCGGCTCGCGGAAGTGTGGCGGTTGCATGAAGCCACCCTTGTCTGTCGCAATCCGGATGAGCGTGCTTGCGTTGTAAAATAGACGCAAAGTCCCGTCCGGGCTTACTACCTCCACAAAACGGCCTGGGATGAGTGGCTCTGAGGTAACAGCGTCGATTTTCTCATCCGCAGCCGATTCAAGATTAGGCTTGCCCGGTCGGGCCTCGCCTAGGCGTCGCAGTTTCTTCTTAGGATTTTGAGGCATGTGATACTGCCCGTTGTTCAACGTGTAGTATAGTAAAAAACAGAGGCCGCTGCTATATATTCTCGAATTCAGAAGGTATATACCTATGGACAGCAATTATGAAAAACAGGAAGAAACAACAATGACAGAATAGATTAGTTATAGAGAGTCGAAAAGAAGAAACAGTACTAAGATGGCTACTCCCTACGCGCCCACAAAGGTCCACGTGCCTCCTGGACAGCACACCACTTTCCGCTGCACTTAATTAGCTATAACCGCACGTCGACAGGGCCAGAACACAAAATGGCGCGGCGTGTGGCGGAGTGCCCAATCACGCGCGCCGCATGCGGGGGTTGCTACGTGGCAGTGTGCGTGGGGAGAGGTGGGACTCGACGCAGCCGGCCTGCACCCCAAACCCTTCGCCCAGTGACGGGCCGCCTTGCGTGCCGTTGCGGCGGCTCCAGGAGGGGTGGCAGGGCTGCGACGCGCCTCCACGGCGTCGCCACGTCCTCTGCCTGATGCCCACGTTCCCTCCGTCCGGCTCCCCATGCCACCTACAAGGCCACTCGGGGTCTCGCCCAAGCCTGTTTCGGCCTTCCCCGGGGTCGAGCCCGCGCACTCATCCCCAGAAACCGCAACCCCGCTCGTGACTGCGGCATCCCACGCAAGCCGATCATCCTCCAACCGCGAATTCGCCACGGCGCACACCCCAATAAGTCAGACAACCCCTTCTAGGCACGTGGCCCACTCAGACCACATCGCTTATCTTCCCTTTCCCCATCCTCAGACTCAAAACGCCCCCATCGCCCCGTGCCGCTTCGCACAAAAATAGGCTCACCTGACACATAGTTGTAGGCGAGAAGACACAGCAGACCCCCATCGCAAATCCAAATGCAATCAACTTCCTGGATGCCCACCATGCTTTTGTTCTTAGCCGAAAATACCCAAAGCACCTCTCAGGGTCCTAAGGATCTCTTCAGGGGAAATCACGCCCGCCCACAGAAGGATCCCAACGTCTGCCAGTACCAGAGCCACTAAGCCCCTGTCCAATCGGTCCCATTTCTTCCGATTCATCGCGAGGCGGAGCAGCGCAGTCACTTCCCTATCCCCCCGAGCCGCATTTCCACCGCCATCTTCCGAGAATGCAGCCAGTGACGCGTCGTAGTCCATCTTAAACCAGAAGCGACGCTCGACGTAGCCATAATACATAAACACAGCGTACAGTGCATGGAATCCCATAAAGAAGCCCAGCGGCCGAGACGGCGCGGTTGGCAGAAGGCTGAGAGACTGGTGCATTGGTGGCGCCAAGTGTACCAGGCACAGATTGCAGGACAGCAACAAGCAGCTGTAGGCCCAATGCGAGGGCCGGCGGGCAAGGAAACCCCATAGGGCGTTGAAAAGGCACAGCAGACCCACAAGGACCCAGTCCACGTCGGTTTCCGACAGCGGAAGGCTCACAGCGACGAGGAAAATGAGGATGTTTGGCAGGTAGGTCGCGAGACCGCCGCCGGTGTGCGTCCTTTCCTCCTTCCACCGCAATTCCGCCCCGTACTCGTTTTTCAGCCGCCGCAGCTGTCGCTGCCTGTCCAGCCGCCTTTGTTGGCCCTCCTTAATGCGCCGGGCCGTGTCCTCGCCGGGCATCCCAATCCTGTCCGTCGCCTATCCACCACGGGGTCGTCGGTCGGCTGCTTATCGCCACGCTGTACCAGACCTGGGATAATACGGACTGTTGTCACGGTGAACTGTTCGTCTACGCTACACCTTCATTTTGCGACCGCAGGGGGAGAAACAAGGTTGAGAACTAGCTGGTAAAGAGCCCGCATAGGTGAGAGAATGACAAAACATTAGGATCATCTGCATGCATGAACGTCTATTTGGTTTTCGTGGGATGTTGTTATCAGTCACGCGTTCGTTTCTTTGGAATGCGTGTGAATGGTTCTCTCTTAGCCCCAATCACCATACAAAGCCGCCGCGGCCCGCCGGAACAGACCCTCCCTCGTCTCTTCCGGCATTCGCGCTCGCACAATCGGCGCCACCTCCCCTACTATCGCGCCGGCGTCTAACGACTCGTTGCAGCACACCCGACGCGCGATGGTCGACTTGGCCAGACTCCCCAGAGACGTGGCCCACTCCTCACTGCCCTCCGTTTGAGTCCGCAGGTATCCAGACAAGGAGGCCTTCCGGTCGCTGCGTAGCCCTTCATGCGCGCGCACGCCGCCGGTGCTGTCCGCCACCCGCCTAGCCATTCAAATGCTTAACTACGATATGAGTGATGGGGAATGCAACGATTCCCAAATAGTGTAGACTTGTTAAAGAAGAGGACCCCTATCCATGCGCGCACGCGAGGAGTGAGAGGCGTGAGAAACAGAAAAGGCTAGGCTGCATCAAAAGCGCGAAGGCAAGCATTCGACTGGGAAGTGGTACGACACGCCCCTTCTTCCTCACCTCTCCACACCAAGCCACGGTAATCTGCTGCGCCGGCGTGTTCACACTGCTTATCCCGCAGATCGTCTCACCGCGTGTCCAACACGTTCCCACATTTTGCCGGCGCACGGCTGATTATCGGGGTCGCTTGGCATCCGCGACTCCAATGCGCCGTAAGCAGCACCTGGGCCCGGCGAAGCCACACGCCAACCACCGCTACCGCAGAAGAAAGCTGTCTTGATGCCGTGCGGCGAAGGAGGCGCCAGACGCGACCTGTAGAATGGCATCCTTGCCAAGGGTCGCGAGCAGCGGCACACTGTTCAGGACCTTCATGCCCAGGCAGGAGAGCCCGGGGGCGACACAGGTGACGGCTTTAATAGCCTCCATGGAGGCCACCATGGGCCGTGTGTGGGCAATCATTTCTCCCGCAAAGACCCGCCCGACCGCGACAACGCTGCCAATGTCCTGCCCGACCCTGAGAACCCTCTCCAGCGTGCCCGTTAGCGCGCACACGTCGTAGATGCCCAAGTTGACTCCCTGCCCAGCGAAGGGGTGGATGCTGTGAGCGGCGTCGCCCAGCAGCAGCGCCCTCGGCGCGTAGGGCCTCGTGACGAGGCTCAGTCTGAGCGGGAACGCCCCCTGCACGCGACGCTGCTCGCCGTTGGAGGAGCCCTCCGGGACTTCCAGAACCCTGGGGATGTCGTTCGGCGCGAAGTCGTGTAGGCGGCGGTTTAGCTCCTGCACCAACACCCGCTGAGGAGCACCCTGGAGCCGCTTCGCCTCGTCCGGTGTCGTGGAGAAGACGATATTCGCCGAATCCTTCGCTGTCGGCAGAAACGCAATAATCTTCCCGTCCCGAAAGAAGTTCTGAAAGCCGCACACGTTACCGTCTGCGACACCCGCTAGGCGTGCTTCGCACACAAAGGCCACCTGGCCGTAGTCTTGCTCGAAAGCGGGCGCCTGGAAGGCGCCCCGAAGTGCGCTGCCTCGCCCGTCGCAGCCAAGCAGCAGCCGGAACTTCACCTCCTCAGGGCGGTCGCCGCCTTGCTTGCCGGTGACCGTCGCGCGGCCAAGCGCGCCAGACTCGACGTCCTGCCGCGGTAGGCGGATGCTTCCAAGGGTGGATTCGAACAGGGTTACGTCCCGCCTCGCGCCGGCGTCACCTTCTTCGTTCGCAAGCTCGCGCGCACGCGCCATCATGGCACTTTGCAGTTCGACATTGTAGCACATGAAACCCAAAGGCGTCCGCAGGTCGGTGAACTCCACAAGCGGTTCCGCGGTCGCCTTGCCCCCCACAATGCTACTCATAAAGAACGACCGCGAGCGCGCGCTCCGGCCTAGCAGAGGACCGTTCACCTCCTCATGCCGCACCGCAATCCGGTAGTAAGAGTGCTTCGTCGTTAGCTTTGACCAGGCACCCAAATTATCCACGATTTTGCTCGATACCGGTGTGATGCTGACGGTGCGCAGCCGGTGCACCGTATCCGCCGGGTTGTACACAGGCTGCCGCCCGGCCTCCACCAACATGAGCCGGGTCAGCAAAGAGGGGGCCCCTGCCCCGGCGCTCATCCGCCGCCGCAGGTGCAGAAGGGAGGTGAGCATGGCAGCCCCGACCATGCCACCACCAGAAACAATCACATCGTACACGGGCGTCTCAGCCAGCCCCCCAAGCAGTATGAAGCTCCGCCGCATCGCTGTCTAATGTGTGTAGCCTAAACGGTACCTGCGAGAGAGTGGGGAAGCAAAGCCGAAACACGATGAAACACCAATAATGCATACGTGCACACGCCGCGCACCGCCCCCGCCCGCCAACACTCACCCCACACCAGGCGTGCCATCCACAACGGCCCCTGTAAACTCCCACCGAGGAACGCACATCGACAATATTTACGATTATAGTAACTTTAAAAATAATTATAATAATTAAACAAAATAACAAAAAATACGTAAGCCTGACTATGCAAAGCACCGAGCCCCTTCGAGGATGTCCTCGTTAGCGGATCGCTATTATCGGAGTGAAATATACATGCACGTGTTGTTGTAACTATATAACAGAAGAGAGATTATTC